TCTGAGTTCTAAGGGAAAATCAATTCATGAATTTTTTGGAGATACATGGATCATTTCAAACATTAGAGTACAGTATAGAGTACATTCATTGCACTAAGCCTGTATTATTGTATGAATGGATTAAGTGTCCAGAAAAAGCATACATTTATTTCTGAAAAATGTAATTATTTTTTCCTACTAAGGGATTTGTTTCACTATGAAAAACATTAGCCTGGGAAATTAAGATATGTAGGAAAGACCCACTCAGGCTATGTTCAGTATTTGAGAAGTAAACTAGATGTATCCATTTGGGTTATTTGAAAGAGTAACATGATGCCAGAGATAAGGATGTTTTTATCTGTGCTTACCGTACTACCTTGCTACAGTTTAAGATCTTTCAGGATAGGGCAATAATGCAGTGATATCCTAAAGATTAAATAAATACCACCATGTTTTACGGATAGGGTAAGTGACGGGGGCTGGTGGTGACACAGCTTCAGTATCGTGATTTATTGAGTAAGGTCCCCATCAGCAGTATCTGCATCTTTTCCTAGCTAATAAATATGTGTGTGTGAGTGTGTGTGTATACGCACTTGACCCTACTAATAGTCTACTGTTGATGAGAAGCCTTAACAATAACATAAACTATTGACATGTATTTTGTATGTTCTATGTATTATATATTGTATTCTTACAATAAAGTGAGATAGAAAAAAGAAAATGTTAAGAAAATCATGAAGAAGAGAAAATATATTTACTATTCATTCAGTGGAAGTGGATCGTCATAAAGGCCTTCATCCTTGCCATCTTCAAGTTAAGTAGGCTCCTGAGGGGAAGGAAGAGGTTTGGTCTTGCTGTCTGAGGGGTGGTGTATAAAGGGATCTGAGCAGTTCAAACCAATGTTGTTCAAGGGTCAACTGTATGTATTGGCCGCTACCAGTTCCTTAGAATAATATAGGACTGGAAGAAAAATACACAGTTGAGTCTGACTTCTTGGCTCCTCTAGGCTTTGAAGAAAAAATTACATTCATTAATTTGTACAACATAAAACATTTTGGAAACATAAATGTTGATGAAATCCTAATTGATATACAATAATATGGGCCCTCGGGCATACAAAATGGATCTCTCATGAAATATTGAAT